TGATATTTTGATCACCTTTTATTAATCCAACAGTATTTTCATATAAGAGTTTAAGAGAATTTCAGTTGAGTTTGAAGTTCCTCCAGAAAAGACAGTTAGGGAAAAGCTACTGTGAAATGTTGCTTTATCATTATATTAAATTTATCTTTTAAGATTACATTACAAAATCTGTTTATAAAATATTAGCATTTTTCTCTTCTTTAAACACATCAGCTGCCGTATAAGATCTTGTTTTTTTAGCTATCATGCAAAGTGTCTAGATTTCAAAGTTTAGCCTGCCGACTTCTCGCACAAGCGTGAAGAATAACACAACCGAAAAAGGGTGTAAAAAGCGCTCTCTTTATGTGTAACCTGAATATGAGCAAGATTCCTTAAAATGTCAACCACGAAAGCACTCCTTCCTTTATGCAGACAACTGTAGTATGTTTTGCTTTAATTAATGAACTTAGCGTTCCTTACTTTAATAAAGTGCTTTATAAATGTTTAGAAATAATGTAAGGAAAGCTTAAATGGAAAATGCTGACTGAAGATATGCTTTTAAATTAAAAATCTGGTTTCGGCATTTTAGAAAAATGTAAATAATTTTTTTCAAATAAAGAAAATAGATAAATATGTATTATTAATTCAATATCCATCTCATTCATAGTAATTTGTTGAGTGTTTTTCTTTGTAAGAAACTTGTTTCTGACATTTTTATAAATCTCAGAGTTATCAATATTTATATCCTGAACTCAGTTCGGAAAATAATTCTTACCATATGACAATTTTATTTCTAATAATATATGCTTGTCGTAGGACTTGAAATAAATTTTTCCAATAATGTCAAGTATTCCCTTTTGGGAATGCGGGAGATGAACTAGTTTGCGTAGGCAGAACTGACTAAAGTTACGATACAAGAAATTCTGGAAGAGCAGTTTCTTGCGAAATATGGTGTTCGAGACGTTTTATGAGTTTCAATTTTCTCTTGGGAATCGGAACTTAGAGTCATAACACCTGTCTAGGACAAAATTTGTCGAGATACCCTAATTTTTTTCAGGGGGGAGAGGACTATTCTCTAAGATTTCTTGTTGCTACACTGAAAAATGTAAGTTCTTAATATTCTTGATAATTTCGCAAATATTATATTCCCCGTTGTTGAGAGAAAAGTGTGCTTTTTGGTGATTTACGTAAACTATATTCCGGCGTAAAACGCGCACCTGTAATTTCAAACTATATTTTTTAATTTTTGGGTATATCTCGATATTACGAGCACCTTTTTCATTACCAAGAAACCTGACAGGTACTCTGCGCAGCAAATAAAAAAAAAAAAAAAAAAAGGACAGTTCTATATCATCCGTTCAACTGGGCCCATTGACGAAATTCAAATTGCGTTTTTCATGTCTCGAAAGCGTGACTTAATAATACATTTAATTATAGCATAATACTAATACAGGTATTTTGGCACAAAATCGGACTTTTTCTGAAATGACATGCCAATTTTTTCCCATATTTCGATTCTACTACTCAAATTTTGCCTAAATACTAAATTTTGTGAAATTTTGTGCCAAATTTATGGAGAAAATTTAACATTTACCTTGGCGCATTTTTTTCAGTTTGCGCTAAGAATAATTCGCTTGGCGAACTTCTTAATTTATAGTAACCTATTTTCCTTTCCCTTTTTTTCATTGTAAACGAGCGGGAAAAAAGTCATCGTTCATTATTTCAAATAGTTTTAACAAAGTGCGTAAACATATTTGGGTTATTATCGCTTATAACAATTCTTCCAGATTTCAAAACGCTCCACTGTGTGAATTCATGTGTGTCCTAGGAAATTTTGAATAGAAAGCTCTAGTGTTTTGAAGGTATACTTAGAAATACATCTACTTTAAGATGATGGTAAACATTTTATAGGCAATTTAAAACTTTTTATGAAACTTTATATATTTAAACTTTTATGAAAATTACAAATACAAATTTAAAAAAATAAATCATAAAAAATGGGTGAATTTTATATGGAATGGACCTAAATTTCGAATGCTGGAAGAAGGAATTAGGTACGTTTAATGAAAAAGAGATAGTAATAAATATATATCACATTCAATTAACATTAAGGAGCTAAACTTTTGAGAGCTACTTTTTAAAAACTACTTGTGCGATTTTTACAAAACGAGGCAGTTTGGCAGAATTTGAGCCGTAGAATCGAAATGTGGGAAAAAAATGGTATGTCATTTCAAAAAAGTCATATTTTGTGTCAAAATGCCTACATTAGAGCAATGTTATACATAAATCTAATATATATCCTAAGTCGTGCTTTTAAGACATGAAAAACGCAACTTGAATTTCGTCAATCGGCCCAGTAGAATGGAAGATACAGAACTGTCCCTTTTTTTTTTCTTTGCGCAATGTACATGATATCTTTCCAAGTCGTTTGTTCGAATAGTTTTTGAAGCTTTCGAACAATGATTATACTAAATTGACAAGCGATAAGGAGAACTAAATAATTCTGCAAAGAGGTCAGGTCATATTCAATGACGATGTGCACAATAATATTATTCTAGGGTTCGAGAAAAGAGCAAATAATGTTTAATACGAATATACTTCCGACAGTAAGGATTTTTTGGAATTAGGAGACAGAAGATTTCTCTTTCTGTGATCATTTGAGGCTATGATTTTGAAGTAAACATTGAAGTAATATGGCTCCTGCCAGAATTGCCAGTAACAGCATTTAAGTACACGTAGAAATTAAATTTTTGTATGCTGATCTTTTCCTTACTTATAAATCTATCACTTTTATATCCGGCATGCAACGCTCGCCCTTAAATTTCGATTTCATTTTTGGTATTAGAAGTACGCATTATGCCCTGGAATATAGATAAGGTAGAATTCCAGAGCATAATTTAAATGGCCAATCAGAAGGCATGGTTTAACTCAAAAGAAGTTCTCTTGAAACCTTATGATCCGAGGCTTTGAAGCTTAGTTTCCATTGCTGTCTGCTTAAGCTCACGTATCTTTAAGAATGTGTTCCATTTTCTGAATGATCTGAATAATAATAAATATTTATTACTGTTATCAATACCTTTGCATGCTTTGTTCATTATGTGACATGATCCGCTGATCCTTGTCTCTCCTGACAATGTCTTTAAACACATTTACTGTTAATCAGTTAATTTTCTGTAAGTCAACAAATGATTTCTCCAGTTAGATTGTATAAAACAATACGAACAGAAATCACGACCTATAAAGTGTTTAAAAAAAAAACAGAGTTCCATTCATTGAACGTACAGGCGAAAACTCTGAACTTTAATCCCATGAGGTATTTAAGAGAGACATTATTAAAAGAAATATATTCCAATGCATCACATCTTAAAGATTTGATTGCGTGTCAACTTCAAATGATAGACCTGCTGGACACAGGTGGTTAGGTTATATGTGAACCACGTGAGAGCTGTCTGCTTCCTTCTGAACTTATGGGACACCCACATGTGACAGTCTTGTTAGCGAAGGATTATAAATGTGATTTTATATTTTCGACTTACTTCGACTGTTAAGGAAATATTATTTTTCAAAGTTTTTTTACTTTATTAAAATATTTTTCGTCATTATATAAATGAATGAAATATAAAAGAATTTATTTTATTTAATTTACTAAAAATGTATGGTATCTCTATTTTTTGCAAATAAAAATGTGTGTCTCGTTTGATCTTCTCGAGAGGGGACGTCAATTTACTAATCTATGTTTCTGGTAATTGAGTAAAATATCTTGATTAACTCAGGTATTCTTTTATAACTATCAAATATCGTATAGAAATAAGTCTAATCTGAACTAATTCCTTAGAAAAACTAATCACCAATAAGAAGAAAACGAGAGCCAAGGTCGAATTCATATCTAATTAAAATATTCTTATCTGAGCATAAGCTCATTCAAGCCTTGTCATACCGTTTAATTTAAGAGGTCTGCTAGAAGCCTAAATTAACTAACTTTAACTTTTGCTACAGGGAATAAAGAACTTCCATAAAGTTGTTCTTATCTTCCCGCTTTGATAAGTTTTCAGTTGTTCGTTGATTAAAAATGTCTGCTTGATATTGTTATGAGAGGTTTTCGGAATAGTAAGAAAATGAGTAAGTTAAAAATCAATCGGTGATGGATAGTTCAAATTCAACCCAACTTAGAAGGAATATTTTAAACGTTAGCCAAAAAAAAACGTTGTTAAAAGTGCGAATTATATGTTGTACTATTATAATTGATTATTTAATTTATGATAAATTACACTAACATTATCTATCTTAGAAGAACAATAACTTCGTGAAGGGCTTCCTGAAGTGAAACTAGCTACTGTTCACGTTACACATGTGAAAAACCATAAAATCTTCCCTGGTGCCAACCCATTTGCCGAAATATGGAGCCGGGTCGAACTACGAGAAGAAATATACTCAGAAGTCTTGCCCTCTCGTCCACTGGTGGGCTGTAATATCGCAATGAATTACGAGAGATATAACATAGAATTGAAAGAGCAAGTTCTTCTGAAACAAATATATTATTTCATATAATGTGAATTAACCTTAAGGTAGTCTTTAAGACTTTGGAAATAAAAACTATTTTAGTTAAAAATCAATCTATTTTAGTTAAATATAGTTTAATATACCTTTGACATATATGCTGCAGAATATTACAAAAGACGTTTTTGCAAATCAAAAATGATTGAAAAACATAATTATGCTTCACGTGGTCTTCAACATATTTGCATTACGGCCTATTACAGTTACGGTCCAAAACAGCTGCTATGTTACGAGCGGATATGCAACAAGTATTGTTTCAGTTTTAGCGTGCCCATCCCTAGCAGCTGCATAATCGTGAAATAATTTTCACGTTTTTCCTCTTACAATGAGATTATCTGTAATTTTTATTTCACAGAACAATAGAAGGATGGTAAAAGTATGAGTTCGTAAGTTTTAAAAAATTAGGGATATTATTAGCAGATTTTTCTTGAAATAAGTTGTAACATTCACATATAAAAGGCAACAGAGTTAACCATTTCCTACAGTCTGAAGTATCTTCTTAGCCCACAAGATGAAAGTGCTGTTATTTTCTGGTCTTTTTCTCCTTGCCAGCTGTGCAGCATCGAAAAACAGTTTCTCTCGAGGAATAGGAAATGGAGGAAGAGGAAATCTAGGTGGATTTGGACGCTTTAGGGGACCTCCACCACCCATGTTTCCCAAATGCAAAGAGTTCGAGCAAGCTGTCAACGAGAAAATGGAAGGTAAGTTCTTTTCGGAGATAATAACTAATTCTTGTTTGTTTGTGCTTTACTCGCAACTCTTCTTCGTGTAATACTCTAAGATTAAACTTAATTTGTTATTTAACCATACCTATTTAGCATTCTTTTGTTTGAACGAATTTTCATTGTCACTTGCTCTCAGGCTCCAGGTTTTGTTGTGCCGTCAAAAGAAGACTTTTTTCATTACTCCTACTAATTTCATCCTAAATATCTGAATACTGTTTCGTTACATTGGATCATTTTGTTAAGCAAATATTTGAAAGTTTTATTCTAATCTGTTTTTAAAATTGTTTTCCTTATTTCTGTTATTGTCAAAGCACAACTGCAAGGATTTAATTTATTTATATATACTTTTGTCACTCGGAATATAAAATATACACTCATGTCCATAAATTAAGGATAATTCGAAGTCACGCGGAATCGAACCTCTAAAATAAATATATCACCTGTAAAATCCACTACACACATCTTCAAGAATCATATGCAAATTTCAGGAAAGTCACCAGATGACACCGATGGTACGCACAATGACGAGAGTGTAAGCGAGTGATATATAAGGAATTACAGGCAAAGAAGTAAAATTGTTCGCAGGCACTTTATAAGCATTTCAGATGCAATAACCGAATAGTTATGACACAAAGGACGCATTTGGATGATTTTTACCCCCCCCCCCATCGGGTCTGGAATGTGGACGTACCCAACTGGAAGTATCAGACGAACTTGGAATTGCCCATAGTGTCATCTCCAGGCTTTGGCAACGATTCCAAGATGATGGTAATGTGAGTAGACGTTTAAGCACAGGTCGTCCCAGAGTTACAACGCCGAATGAAACGGTATTTGGCAGTTACTGCCAAAAAACAGGCGGAGCACAGCCTCGACCTGTCTCTCTTCTCCACTGGACGACAATTTCAAGGGAGACTTAGGGCAGATTGGTCTATAATGCTCGTAGACCTGTCAGATGCGTTCCACTTACTGCAACCATTGTCGCCTGCTTTAGCCTGGAGTAGAGAGCATGATTGTGGACACCGCAACAGAGTTTTCCAGGTTTTAGCTTGCAGTCTGATTCTCGCCGGACTTTCATATGGAGAGCTCCAGATACCCGTTACCACCAAGAAACATCATTGAACGACACCGTTACGGGGTGCAGGAGTGCTCGTTTGGGGTGGAATTATTCTGGGGTTCCAGAACTAACCTCATTTCAAATTGGAACCATGACAGCCAAATCTATCGGGACGTCATTCTGGAACAAACATGTACGTTTGTTTCGGGGCGCCATGGCGCACAATTTTGTGTTTATGGATGAAACGCCCGTCCTCACCGTGCAAACATCGTAAGCGAATGCCTTCAATCGGAGGATATCACCCGTAGACTGGCCAGCATTCTCCCGATCTGAATCCACTAAAGCATGTGTGGACATGCTTGGCCGACGAGTTGCAGCCCGTCAACCTCCTACATGTCTGCCCGAACTTCGGAGAGCATTGCTTTTGGAGTGGTGTAATATCCCCAAGATCAGACGATAATTTGATTACTCAGCATGCCTAGGCGTTGTACGGACGTATTGCATCGTTGAGAGACATACAATGTATTAACAATCATACCAACCATGTAATATTGGTTTTTGTAAATAGGTTTTTTTTTTTTTTTTGTAATTTGTTCCAGGGAGAAAAATGCTAATTTTTTTAATAATATCAAAACATATAGCATCTTTTTTGCTCTTTACCTTTGTTTAATAAATAAGCTTTACAAATAAGTCAAATTTGTTTTGCTTCTAACTCTTCCTTTGCCTGATTTTGCATTATCCTTAATTTATGGACATGAGTGTATTTACTTTTTGTTATTGATTTCTAAAAATTTTATTTTAGTCTATAATTAATTGTTCTTTTGCATAAAGCTATATACTTTATGTTGCACATTAGTAATACGTGCAATCGTTTAGCAAAGTCCGTAAGTCTCATTTAATTTGTAATAAATTGAGTAAATCAGAGCGTCCATTTATATTTATTGATAAAGTTGTACGGCCATTAGGTTACTTTGAAGCAGGAGACAGGAATACGAGCAATGCCTTAGCCGGGAGTCTAACCCTGGACCTCTCGAATTTGCTTTCAGTTACACCACGAAGGCATGCAGAAAGAAGGGAGAAAATATCCTATAACGTTTATGATTATATCTTATCAAAGTGTTTAATTACATATATATCCTCATTCCAAAATAAACATTAAGTAAAAGAAATATATTTTGGGTCATAAAAATAAAAAACAAATATTTTATACGAACATTATAAAAGAAGAAATAATAATAATAGTGGCCACATATGCTACGGAAGTATGTTAAGAAATATACTTTCGCATACTTCGTTTCTTTACTGATTTATTTTGATACCAGAAGCATAAGCTGAAATTGGTTAACATCATCTGAAATTAAATGTTCATTTACTTCATCTTTAATTTCTGCCTTGGTTACTACTTATATTGTGCCTTAGAAAGTAAATTTAGTGATTATCGTTATTGAAATTATATGTATTATAATTCCCATGGATATCAAAAAATGCCATGTACGGAAATGAAAGACATCTGAAATTTAAAGATTAACCTTCCCAGAGATGCATTAAAAAGAAGCATTTCGAGAAAATTATGTGCTAGTTACTTTATAAGGTATTTCTCCCTCTTTTCTCCATGCCTTCGTGGTGTAACGGTAGCACGGCGCGTATCCGAGAGGTCCAGGTTCCATTCCGGGCGAGAACACTGCACATATTTCATGCTTCCTGCTTCAAAAAAGCCCAATCACTCTATAGTGGCTCCCGAATTAAAAGGTGGGGGATGATGATTCTTCACCACCAGGATTTGGCGATTGGGTCCGCTAATCCTCTTAACTCGTTCGGACTACTGTCTTACGTGCCGCGGGGCTAATCACTCCTCTCTTTGTGACTAATCTCAGGTAGTTAAGTTCTCTGTCCATGAATAAGGACTTCTTATCGATCTCCCTTATCCTCCCCTTAGCCCATCGGCTTTTCTTTTCCTTTTCCATGGCGTATGCTCTTTCTTATCCAATTCAGATTTTATTAACAAAGATGTGGTGGTAATTGCATTTAACTGCAAAAGTACTCCCTAACAAGAACGTCGTGGTCCTTGGTCCTAATCCCCAGTTGTCATTTAAAAGGATGAGTATATAAGTTATTTTCTCCCTCCTTTTTGTATGCCTTCGTGGTATAACGGTAACACACTCGGAGCGTGTTTGAGAGGTCCAGGTTAGAATCCAGCAAGGGCATTGCTCATAATCTCTAAAGTTTTAAAACCAAAAGTTTCTGCTTCTTTGTCTGGTTGATCCAAACATTTTCAGCCAATATTACCATTACTGCTGTTTTTCACCTCCTTGTTTCGGTTCATCTACTACTAGTCCCATTTACTCATAAAAATTGTATGGTAATTTTTTTTTTCTGGTTTTTACAATCTTTAGCTTCTTTACCGCATACCTATCTTTATACATTTTTGACAAATTGCACTCTACAGTTAGCTAACCCTCATTTTTAGAGAATTTTGAAACGTTTCGTAATTGTATTCTTTCACAACGCCGCAAATAAAGGAGATCATTCTCCTATGTACAGTTTGTATAAACGTTTATATAAAATCTGATAACATCACAGATAAGTATTAAATGCGTACATTTTTACTCTTTTAGAAATTGTCCTTCTCTCACTCTTTACTAATTTTTTTTAGTAGCAAAAGATAACCTTGATTTTATCCATATCAGGAATCAGATCTATCACGTTATACGTTTTTGTTCTTTCGGAAAGCAATTTTCGTTTCTGTACCTAGATTTTCAGTAGATTTGCTTACCGATTCAGATATACTGATCAATATTTGTATATGAATTTCAGAATTCGTATGTTTAGAATGCTTCTAGACAAATTTAACATGAGTATTTCTGCTAACTTTGCAGTTAGTTTCAAAACACACATTTTAATATGGTTTTAAACATGTTTCTATGGCTGTAGAACAAATAACAAAATGAAATTTTTCTGAACTCTGTTTAAGTAATATCCTTTATACACTCGTGTCCATAAATTAAGGATAATGCAAAATCAGGCAAATGGAGAGTTAGAAGCAAAATAAATTTGACTTATTTGTAAAGCTTATTTATTAAACAAAAGGTAAAGAGCAAAAAAAGATGTTATATGTTTGATATTATTAAAAAAATTAGCGATATTTTCTCCCTGGAGCAAGTTACAAAAAAAACCTATTTACAAAAAACCAATATTGCATGTTTGGTATGATTGTTAAATACATTGTATGTCCTCCAGACTATGCAATACAGTCCGTATAACGCCTACGCATGCTGAGTATCAAATTATCGATCTGATATTGGGGGATATTACACCACTCAAAAGCAATGCTCTCCGAAGTTCCGGTAGACATAAAGGAGGAGGTTGACGGGCTGCAACTCGTCGTCCAACCATATCCCACACGTGCTCTACTGGATTCAAGTCCGGTGAGAATGGTGGCCAGTCCATACGGGTGATATCTACCGATTGAAGGCATTCGCTTACGATGTTTGCACGGTGAGGACGGGCGTTGTCATCCATAAACTCAAATTGTGCGCACATGGCGCCCCGAAACATACGTACATGTTGTTCCAAAATGACGTCCCGATAGATTTGGCTTGTCAAGGTTCCAATTTGAACATGCAGGTCAGTTCTGGAACCCAAATTAATTCCACCCCAAACGAACGCTCCTGCACCACCATAACGGTGTCGTTCAATGATGTTTTCCTGGTGGTAACGGGTACCTGAAGCTCTCCATATGAAAGTCCGGCGAGAATCAGACTGCATTCTAAACCTGGACTCGTCGGAAAACATCACGCAAGCCCACTGTTGCGGTGTCCACAATGCATACTCTCTATTATTCCAGGCTAACCGCAGGCGACAGTGAGTTGCAGTAAGTGGAACGCATCTGACAGGTCTACGAGCATATAGACCAATCTGCCCTAAGCGTCTGTACACGGTCTGCCTTGAAATTGTCGTACCAGTGGCTGAAAAGTGCTGACGAGACAGGTCTGAGGCTGTGCTCCGCCTGTTTCTTTTGGCGGTAACTTTCAAATACCGGTCCTCATTCGGCGTTGTAACTCTGGAGCGACCTGTGCTGTAACGTCTACTCACTTTACCATCATCTTGGAATCGTTACTAAAGCTTGGAGATGACACTCTGGGCGATTCCAAGTTCGTCTGATACTTCCAGTTGGGTACGTTCACATTCCAGACGGCCGATAATTATACCACGTAAAAAATCATCCAAATGCGTCCTTTGTGTCATAACTATTCGGTTATTGATCTAAAATGCTTATAAAGTGCCTGCGAAAAATTTTACTTCTTTGCCTGTATTCCTTATATATCACTTTCTTACACTCTCGTCATTGTGACGTGCCATCGGTGTCATCTGGTTACTTCCTGAAATTTGCATATGATTCTTGAAGATGTGTGTAGTGATTTTACAGGTGTTATATTTATTTTAGAGTTCGATTTCCGCGTGACTCCGAATTATCCTTAATTTATGACATGAGTGTATTTAGATTGCCAATGATAAGCGTCTAAATGTAAAGTTTGTTTCAATAACAAAAAATAATTAACTTTTAAAATAACCATTTGTTCCCATAACTTGCAGAATCAGTATCCTTATTACTGTGTGTGAATAAAATAATGTATGCAATAAAATGTTCGTTTGTAGGATCTAAGATTATTATTACTATTACTATTGTTATTATTATTCTACTCCTTTCAATTAAGAATAACAAACTACCATAAACGTAATGCTTTACTTTGTGTTTCATGTTATGTAAGTCTCACTAAAAAGGGCTATGTTAAGGAAATTATAAGATTTCCTTAAAATAATCATTTTTGATGGTTATCGTGCAATAAGTTAACAGAAACTAACAACATAATGATTTCTTTCTGTTAATAGTTGTTTATAGTAGCAGGTATTTAGATATCTGTAGCAACAAAATCCATGATGAAATCAGTTCCATAAACCCCTTGCAAGGAAGTCGTCACTTCCATTCATGAAGACGCATGCTGGTAATGTCACTTCGTTCAAGTACATTCACTTTTGAATCTGTCTGAACTTTTATTTTCTGTCTTTAAACAAATGTGTCGAGTGAAGTAGGTACAGGATTATTGTAGAATATAATTGTTTTATATACATATTATTAACAGAGCTAAAATGAACTTTTGTAAACTACTATCGGCATTTTGCAATATGTGAATAAGTCCTATTTGTTACCTCAGTCTAAAGATTTGAAATACCTCATTTTTTAAATTACGTTACCTAAGTCTCTGAATTTCCAGTTTTCAGTGATCGAAAATATCTTGGATGATCGATTAGTAATGAATAAAAAATGATTTAAACGCCATTCCTCAAATTAACGTTTAATTAGATAAAATTCAGAGATTGACCTTATAAATCGAAAAATATGATACATTTTTCATAATAACGTAAGCTTTTGTTACTTCATTCTGTTAAAACTAAAAACTGAATGAAGTATCACATCATGCTAGTCTGCAATGGTTTACTGATATCATTGGCAACTTAACGCGGGACTATGAAAGGATACTATTTTAAATGCTGTCGCTTTCTGTCACTTGCAGAATCATAGTTCGCTGAATCTGCAGCACATGCGCAAACCTATGGTGTTATTTACAAAAAATTTATTTCTCATGTTATTGGAATAAAACCTCTGCTATCAGCAATGACAACTGTACAAGATTCTCATACGTTGATTACTGGATTCCTTATGTGCATTCTAGGTCAAATGCTACCAGCTTAGTTCCAGGATTTTCGGCGTCTAAGGTTATCAATACGATTGTCGCCTCTTATATATAGAAATATTAAACTATTCCAGGGGTTGGGACCTACATGTCCCGCGCATTCACTATTTTAAAAGTATCTCAAGAAATTTCAGTAAATTATGGATATTTAAAATGCAATCTTTAATATGGACTAGGAAGCGTAAGATCCCGTTGATTTGTTTTACTGCTCCTTCCTGTACAAATATCTGACTAAATGGCCCTTATACTTAAAGCATTGGTCCCTATACTCCACGAGAAAAGTTTAAGGAATTGAAGGCGAAATACACCTTTATTTATTTGTCGTTCTTGAGAACACTTTTGCTAACGCCCTCCGAAATTCGGTGCCCTAAATGGCTGCTATGTCACCTATGCACCAAGTTAGCTCAGCATTATACACATCTATGCTGTAATCAAATTCTTTCCAAATTTAGAATGTCACGCCTGCTGTAATAGCCTGCAATTTAGACATTATTCAATTACGAAGTACTCAGATGAGCGTGGACAATAATTATATGTAAACGCTAACTTTAATTAAATTTAAAAAAACAGGCATAAGGTAAAATACGGGAACAGAAAGGCCAAGGGAGAAAGGTCTGCTTTATGAAAAAATACAATTACGAAACTTTTGAAACTTCTGTAAAATTGAGGGTAGTAAAGTAATGAGGGTAAGTTCTAGTGTAGCTCAATTGCATAATGTAATCGTTACAATTAGTGTTAGTGTCGAGTAACAAAGAATTTTTCAACTTCTCCAGAAATGAGTCGACACTTTCAATTACTTCGGGAAAGACAAGCCTGCACACTTGCATCGTAAATACAAACTGAAGTCCTGTTTTCTTAAATGGTCTGTATTATTGATGCCTGTGATTCAATAGATCCTTTAAGGGATAATTAATACAATACTTTAATAGTATAAATGAAAGCGAAATTTGTTTATATTTATGAAAATCAAACTGAATTAACGTCAATTTGATGCTCTCTTACGTCTACTGTACGTAATTTATATCTCCTGTAATACATAATTAGTGTAAAGACCACAAGATTGTTCTACAAAGAAATAAAGTATGAAATTACTCGTGCAAATCTTTTAGTGTGATGATAACCATAAATGCTGACATACTCTGTAATCTTAGTTTAGAGCCTGACTCTGTATACTGCTGAAACTACAGATGGAAATGTTTTCAAACCTATTATTCCCTTATATTCAGAAAATTGCATTTTTTTAGAACATCGAAAATTGTTTTTAGTCTTCTAAATATTGTTTTTTATGAAAAGATTTATTTAGGCCATCTCGCATGATTTTATTTATGAATCCTCAGAACTCGATCACCATTCAATGCGTTAGACAAGTGAAAGTTTTAACTGTACATTTTTCAGCAGATTATGAAAAATCAATTTTTTAGTAAAATCCACCTTAAACAGAACACTGGAAATCAGAAATTTTTGTTCATCATTTTCCAATTTGTTCTTTAACAGAGCGCCCTAAAAACAATATTACATCATTTCAGCATTAATTATTAACACTAAAAACAGCAAATATGAAATTTTTGTGGAAATATACAGCAGAATTTAATATTAAAAGTATTCAAAACGGCCACTTTTGGCAGCAATATATACATTGTTTGCAACACTGTAGATCAGATTAACGAGCAACGTATTTAATTTCCTTGAGAAGGGAAGCATAGTCTCACTCGCATTTCTAATGTCAACCAGCGTCCGTGGCTTCTCTTTGGAATTTTATTGAAGCCAGTAAAGAGTCCCCACAATTCCTTCACCCGTTGCTGTTCTCCTGCCGCCTCATCCTTTCTTCACATCACACATAATTCTTTCTGGCTCAAATAATCTTAGGGTCGCTAAGGTGTTGGAATATAAAATTCTGTTCTCCTTCTTCATTGCATTCGATATTCGTTTTTTCACTTTAGCGTCTTTCATTTTCAGCTAAATTCTTCTTATAACATTTCTATTACATCCAGTTTCGGAAATTGAATATTCAAACCTATTTCTTTATTCTTTGAAAGAAGTTCAGTTATTTTTCTTTATTTCACAATTTTCTTATAATTTATTGTGCTTTATTAATGAGTAAAAAAATCATCATTGATACCGTATAATTGAGATTGGAATATAAATAAAACTTTTTTTTATACAATAAGCTTTTTTTTTTTAAAATTAGATCTGACATTTAATACGTTTAAAAGAGAAACTAATTTATCTTACGGTTTAATGGGAACAATAAAGTAAATAATTCTATTTAGCACAATTAATATTCAACTACAATTTTATATCGCAAAATAAAAACGCAGGCGTCTAAATAACCAAACTGACTATAAATTTCGAATCTATTATTTTAATAAAATTGCGAAATGTATAAAACGTTATCGCTTTTAATTTTCTATTAATTTAATAGTATGCCCATGCCTATAAGCATTATTTCTTTTAATTTATTATGGATGCTTCTCCTTTTCACTATTAGCGACATAAAATTTTAGATGAATAATAAATTGAGTAGAATTATTAAATATATTACGCTCATTAAACTTGTAGAGACATTAGGAGTTTTTGAAAGCAGGAAATAAGAAAAATGAGCAGTTCCCTCGCCGGACCTCGAACCATGGACATCTCGAATATACGTCGAGCGTGTTAACCACTACACCACGAAGACATGCTAAGAAGACGGGAGATCTACCTTATATACTCCCCCTTTTAAAAGGCGACTGTGGATTAGGGGACCCTTCGCCGGGACTCGAACCACGGACCTCTCTATTACGCGTCTAGCTTGCTAAGCACTATACGACGGAGGTATGGTAAGAAGGCGGAAGAAATACCTTATAAACTATATGATAAATTATTTTCCTTTTTTTATTGCATGAGTTATTAAATCCATTTTAAATAAAAAATTAATTGTATAAAAGTATTTCTTATTTTATTGAATTTTTCTTTGATATAAACGTTTAAAAAGTATAACTATTATTCTGTGACATACTTTATACTTTATGCACTTCTAGATTATTTCCTATTTTGGTAATTAAATATTTTATTTACATAGGTAAGACATATATGTAATTATTGTTAAGCATATGGAAGGACTTGTTGAAAAATATTTATTTTTCAGAGAAGAGAATGAGCGGCGAAATCGGACCATCTAACTGCAGGAGTGGAAATATGGAGGTTTGTTATATTTTACAATTTTTTCCCTTTCATCACCCTTTATTAGCCTTAAGAATAAAAATATATTGCATTTTATGAACTTACTGATTAAGAGAGAAATTAGAAAACTTTAGTTAATTTCATTGAAAGAGTATCACTAGAAATATTTTGCAAATACATACTGCATCTAATCTCACAATAATTAAACTTAATTAGCTTCTTTATTGCAGCTTTAATTAGTTGTCTTATCGTATCTTTGCAACTAAAACAGAACCCTAATTATACAGATAACATATAAACCTAAATATTTATGAAAACTACGTTTCATAGTATGCATACGAACCTTGTGAAGTTTCGGGAAATTAAGCATTTAAAACGGGAAATTACAAAGTATAATTCTATTCTATTAACTCGTCTCCAGCTAATAAGGATTCTAATCCTACGCTATAACATATAGAAAATTCATTCATCAAGCTTCAGGTCGGCAGCTCATTGATTCAGGCTAAACAATTGTACTGGGTGGTTTCCACAGTATTCTCCCTAAACTACAAATTCGATCGTGTTTAAAATCAAATTAATTGACATTCTGATGAGTTAAGTTAAGAACAGCAAAAATGATATTTAATAATGCATTCAGAAAATGTAAAATTTGAATAAAATAATTTTTAACTTCCCAAGTTCGGAATTAACGTAATAAATAACGTAACTGATGAATTAAATTTGTAGTTTTATTGTAACTTACTATAATACTTTTACTTAATTGCATATCATTTTTATGAACTCAGAGATTCGATAATTTTGAGTTAGCTAGATACAAGTAATCATACGCTCGCAATTACCACTGTTAGAAATAACAGTGGTAATTGCGACCTAGTAACCATATTTAAACAGAACCATATTTATTTATTTGCTAACCTAGTAACCATATTTAAACAGAAATATTATTAATCAAGTTATAATTACCTATTCAAATATACTTATCTGCTCATCCTTAAAAGTTATATCTGTTTGTGGATGAGTTACTGCTCTTGCTAAAATTTGACAATGGAGACAAGGAATAAATGTAAAAATTAATTTAAATATTTTTTCCTTATTGCTGATGAACTTAACTTAGAATAATACAACACAACATTAAAATCTTCTTGATATAGCAACTTACATTTGATAAAGCTTATACCGCCAGTAAATTTACACGAACCTACAACCTAACTGCATAGTATAATTAAAATTCAACTAATTTTGTAGCACTTATCAATAGTGCCATTGCTAGGTTTTAACCTCTGTTCTTATCAGTGGCTTTTCTTTCGGTGAACTATAGCAGCGGCGACAGCAGCCAAGTATCTACTACAAATCATGCCGGTTAAGATTTCTCTTCTGTTTTAACATACGCCAACTGCCATAAAATCTGCATAATCTTCTGGACTGAGTTGAATGCATGACAAAACGAGACTTGAAGGAAGAATCAAAATAAATTTAATGGTTCATTCAACGTAAAAGAAATATCACAAAATTAGATCAAATTTACCATTTATTGTGAATAAAAATTGTTTTATGAAACACTTTTTATAATCTAAAAGCGTAAGCAAAATTAGTAGATTTAATTTATTGTAAATCTTGGTAAGATTTGTTTCATATAAAATATTTCTCACTTTCACAAATGTAAGCAATAAGTGGCGATTCATCGCATTCCTTGCTCTTAAGCACCAAGAAATCATTTGAGTGGAGCTAACATACAAGTAACAAAGATCCACTTGCTCTGACATAATGAATGCACATAAAACCAGTACAGAAAATAACTTAACTAACATAGAGAATGCTTCTTTTCTATGCAGGAAATACTACCAAACTACATTTAGCTAATGGGTCATATAGATAAAAGGATAGGAAGAAGACTCACTTAATAACACTTTGACGAAAACTAGCGCTCTTTTCCTCTGGCAGAATGTAGCAGCTTTCGCTTTTTTCGCTTTTTGCGATAATAAAATTCGCAAAAAAGACAGTAACATCTGCAAGAAACTATAAAAACTTCTCTTCTGTACTGAGAACTGAAGATAAGTAGTCTCCGAAACGATAAATGAATATTAATACATTTCCGCACCATTTTTCTTATCCCATTCACTTTGCACAGAATGCCAGCTATTCGAATTCATTATTCACAGGCTGGGATGTACTTCGACTGCTGCTGAGAAAGGAATTCCGACAGGATTCTTTATGCTAGTGGGCCAGGTGTCGAACATAACGCTTAAGTCATTCATCAACTGTCGCCTTGAGTTCAACTGGAAGAAGTGCAAAAGTATGCAAATTCCCTGACAGTGAATCCTAGATTTAAAACAGATGTTCCATCGTGTTCACATATTTTTAAGTCATCCATTACAAACTGGTATTGCAAAAATTCCTTTTTGTGGTAAACAGTAAATTTTGTTGTTAAAAAACGTTTAATTTTTTCCTTTCTCGTAATTATCATTACCAAACTATTGTTGTTGTTGGGACATTATTAATAACTAAGAAATTCATAAGAATTTCAAAATTACACTAATAATTACAAATCTGCAAAAATTAAGCGCAGTCATAGTAATTAAACCATGATTTCCTTGAGATGATTTATTTACCATTTGGCTTTAATAGCAGCAGGTAGGCGTCTAAATAATCGTACTTTCAATTTTAAATTATTTAGGCTTATTGTACTTAAAAACATAAGCTTTTATTCATTACTCTCTAATAAGCGTAATTTTCTCAAAATTTTATACAAAGGTCTTAGAAATCATTTAGCGTTACGTTTCATCATATTATTCTTTCAGTACTTCCTTTAGAAAAAGGCTTATCTACAGAATTAAAGGAAGAACTAGCAAATTGATTATTATACAACTCATAGGCTCCACTCCCTCTATTATATTAACACATACAGAAATAGCAATAACAATGCTAAACATTTGTAGAAGCGGTTTTAGGTCTTAGATATTTCTGAAATTATTTTTTTTTAGAAAGTTCTTTTCACAATTAGCAACACATACAAGAATTGTAAGAAACGCTTGCAGCAGTCGTTCTGAATTCATTTTAGGAAACCAAACTGCAAAATTCAAGTGGACGCCTTTCAGCGTCCTTATTTCGTTTTCCGTACCAATAACAAAAATATAACTCTGAAGTGGATGTCTCTTAATGAGGGATTTTTCTTTATTAGTGTCATCGCGATCAAAATTAAGCTGGTATTCGTATTTTTCATTCAAACTTTCTTGGCTACTTGTGTGATAAGTAGCATTCTCTAATTAATAATTACCTCTTTCCAGCTATTTAAGGTAATTCCATGGGGGGCTGAGAAATAAAGAATCTAAAGTTGGCTCCTTGAGAGTATCTAAATATAGAGGAAATGTTTCGACATGACTGCAGTGTGTAGTTGTTAAAATCGCGCAGTGATTTGTTTGAATATTTTCTCTAAGGACGAAAACATTTTTCTTCTCGAAGGTTATTTTCGTATGGCAATTCAAAATCTTGTTATTCTTCACCTGTTTCTGTCATCGACCCCTGTGAAATAATATTTAAGCGCAAAATATCGCCCGGAGCATTCTGCCCTTTCCCTCTCCTATAGCTATGGTACTTGTCAATATTTGATCATGTTTTTTTTTTTACCAGTGCATCTCTGTTTAGTTTGATAGACGTTAAGACTGCGAAGAGTATATTCTAGATGTTCGACTGTTAGTCTGGAACTTTTGCTCTTATTTTACCCTTTTTTAATTACATATATATGTATACATTTAACATGTATTTCAACATGTAAATGCTTTCAGGAAGAGAACAACCTGAACAAGAAATGTTTGTGAAGCTCTGGAAGTATATTTTAAGGAGATATAACCGATAAATATTATTCTTAAATAAATTACTATTTTGCTTTTGCATACTTAATTACAACTCTTTACATTGTATTTACAAGTTTGCTGATAAATTGATGTCTACTGAGAATGAGCAGCACGTGCACTTAAATCCGTTGACGCTTTCTGAAATCTTACTCAAATGGACTTAGATAAACTGCAATAAATATATTTTCAGCAGTTTATCTCAATTTTTCTCGAGAGATTTCTAGAGTGAATTGCGTTGCTGCTCTTAAAGTGAAATTGCTGTAACTTCAGTTTAATTTCGAGTGATGCGATTAAATGAAACATTATTATTAAATTCTTTAGCTTTAAAAGTGCATGTTAGTTCATTTAAATAAACAGTCAAATCCATTAAAGTTATTCTAACTCATTCCCTCTTGAACTCACACTTTTGTTTACTTTACCACTGTATCATAAGGGTAGCTTCAATACAGAGCCGCAAGTTAAACGTCCATTAATAAAAAGCGTGGAAATACTATTGAAATTCTAGATCTTGTCTCCATGCTTTTATGTTATTCAATCAATATAATTTGATATTATATATCAATGCTATTTCTCGCAATCCTTTTGCACTCACTTTTTCACAAACATATACGTATTGTTTTGTGCTATGAGTTCGTGGAAATATATAACTAGCCCAGATGAATAGGAAAACTTATTGAAAAAAAGAGTAACTTTTACAGGCAAGATGAACAGCTATAAATAGCGAAAGAGGAAAACAAAGATGTTAGCCAAACATTCTCCTTAATGTGTATGGAATATTCAAGATCACTAAAACCGTTCGCAAAGCAAAATCTAATTCAGTAATAGAGCAGAAGGCTCATCACTGCAAAGAAGACCAATTATTGAATCCAACTAACTGATGGCTATTCATACGTTATGCTTGAAGTATTCCTGCTTGGAGGAAGATAAGTGCTTCAAGAAAAGTTCAGTGCTTCAAGTTCTGCTGAGGCTTCATAAATTCATTTTTCAGAAATCTTCGGAATGTTGCAGAGTTGGCAAAACTTAGCCCAAATGCTGTGTAAGCCAGTGAGGTGGATCTCCGGCTTTTCTGACTCTTATTAATCTTTAAACTTCTAATGTCAGCAAAATTAAAAGATGTACAAGATAATACATGAAATAAATAATGTTACGTTTATTTCTTCACACATCAGTTGTTACTTTACAGAGTTCGTGCGGAATTGGAGTGAATAACAACGACACTTGATGAAGTATCGAAATACACTTTATTTGCCAGTATTGTCAGGAAAGCTCCAAAATACGTTTTACAGTCGTCGATGAACTACTATAAACCCGCCGGAACAATCAGCGACACAGCTGTCACGTTATCAAGCTATCACGGTGGAGACAGCTTCATTACAAAGCACTAGAATACGGCTTCCGATTCTGCTCGGACGTTCTCGGAACTCCACGTACTCTCGAGATGCTCCACGTGATGCACTCGACGACACACAGAGCACGGCTCCCGACTCTTCGGTTCAGTCGTTCCCGGAGCTCAACACGCTCTCTCAACGATGCACTAACCTCGATACACTAAGAGATTCTTCGATGCACTCGACGACCCACTCGGCACTCGCTACCCGGCTGTCAACTCGATCGACTCCGCAGGGATTGACTCGCTAGACGAGACACCAACTCGATACTAACTAACTCGCACTCTATGCGAGGCACTCTCGCTCGCCCTCTCGACAAGGCGCACACCCTGACTGCGGACCAGCAGGGTTTATATAAAACTTTTGGCTTGTCTTCGAGAACGTTCTGGGCGAAACCGGTAAGAATTCGTTCCAGAAGGTTCTCCATTTGTCCATGGCATATCGCTAATTTTCTAGCCAAATATGGCAACCCTGCATTTTCTTGCATTTTATGGCAACCCTAAAACTGCTTTGCGGGGAAGCCATCTCTCCGCGCCTGTACATTTTGTAACAAAATAAAATTAAAAGATCTACAAGATAATACATGAAATAAATACATAAAAATAAAAAAGGATAAAAAATTCCAGAATAATTAAAATGCACAAGAAATAAATATAAAATTATCATAAAAATAGTGTTAAATAAATAAATTAGTAAATAAATTATTTTAAACAAATACATAAATATACAGAAATTTAAAAAAAACAAGCAGATAAATACAAAATTTTTCAAGATACATTAACTTTTCTAGAGCACAGCAATCATGAATACATGCACACTTACAAAACTATTGTTTTATATGTTTACAGTATCATGAAAGGACATCTGCATTAAATTAAATTCCATTATATTGAGTATTTAACCAGCAGAATTCAACCTTCAGTCTGTCTTTAAAATGTACTGAAGTTAAATTCTTACCATTTGATTCCGAAGGCAATCATCACTCTAACCTGAGAGCCCTACAGTGCTTTATCCTGGTTTAATAAACCCAGTTAACGTTTTACGATTATTCTGAATAGAGTATAAATAAAACATTAGCCAGATAAGTTCATACTCTAAATAAGCGTTTTACTCTAAATAATCCTAGGCAACGTTTTAGACACATTTCAAATAGAGCAATGACCTTCAATTTTTGTCAACTGAACGTATATATAAAATTTTAATTTTCCGTAGACTATCCTATTATATTCTCAAAACAATAATTAAAAATGCGTTGGAAATAAATCGATATCGATTACCCTTTTGCATAAGATGAAAATAAAACTATTATTTCAATATATGGAACATCTGAATCCTTATATTTGACAAATCTTATTTAAGATTAGAGGCCCGGAAAATCAAATGTACCACCTTTTTTATTCATTCGAATGCTCATGAAGAATACTCATGAATCTCATTCATGCTTTTAGCATGAAGAACAAACTAATATTAACTCAAATCTTTGAAAAGATTAGTTTTATTGCATCTAATTGAAATCAGTATTAAAAAAAATATGATTGTTTCAATTTCAATAAGCTTGAATAGACAGTATCATCTCGTAGCGGTTCTGATTGCCATACTCTTAATTTTCTTGAAAAAAATCTAACGTTTTGATTTTTAAGTTTATTTCTGTCGCTTCATGTCCTACAGTTTTAATTATATAGATAAGTAGATACAAAAGTTTCCTAACTGATATATTTAAAGTTTTAATAGCTTCTTTTTCAGCATGAGTTCCTATGTACCTCGATACGTTTTTCACACTTTTTATGAGCAACTCTATGGTCCTGAAACCGTAATTGGAAGATTTGTGTTCAAAATGTTCCGTAACTTTTTACACTACCAAAAGTGACGGTTGACCGTTCGAGCTAAATGATATCAGAAACTATTGCTCATATCCAGGTAGAGATGTTGAGTAATAATATTGAGCGTAACAGCAAGGTCAAGGAGATAACAGCAAGTTGAAATGACTATTTTGAGCATTCTACGGAACAACTTCACATAAACAAAGTCTCTGCGAGAATGGTACCCTGATTTCTTTCAGCAAATAAAAAACAACAACGTGTCCAGTACTATTCAGAAACAACAATACGGGTTTAAGGAGCTTGGCCACTTCTCTTAGAACTCAGGTCCGCTCGGCTGATGCGAAGTTTTTTGAACCCATCCTTTCCTGTAAGAGACAGATCACCATCCACGTGATCCAAGCGTTGTTTCATTTCTTTCGGATTAAAGCCTTCTTTAGCCAAAAATTTAATGAGAGAATGATAATCAGCTTTAAACATTTCTGACCAAACTAGGGCATTATTTCATTTAGTAAGAAGTCGAATACTAATATATACTATTTCTGTAATGAAATTGCCAAATTTATTCATTTAGCAGTTATTCAAATTTTTCATCTCTTCAAAGACACTTTTCATATTTTATTACTTAAAATTTCATTCATTCATTGCCACTACATCTCTTCAATAGCCCCTACATGCTACAATTGCCACGACTGATTCATTGCCACTTCAGGTGAAAGGAATTTATTAACTAGTAATTTTTTATATGAACACGGAAAACGTTTGAATCACTTACACATTTCCTTTAAACTGCTTAATAAATATAGACGAATTTTTATAACCTGTATTCTTAAATTTGTTTTACATTAAATGAGAACTTCAAATTCTGTTTTAATTAAATATGTTTAATATAAATCAATCTTTTTCTTTTTTCATCTTGTTATTATTCAATGAAAGATTCAAAGGATTCTAGTGATTTAAGAAACTTTTAGGATTAGAGAAGAGCTCAGTAATTTACTTAGCTCTAACTATTTCATTAGGTTTTTTTTCATAAAAAAAGTTCATTTCATAACGTTTTAAGTAAGACAAAATAAAAAATATTTAATTTTTTTTACTATTTTTAAGTTGAATTTGTAGTAATGAAGCTTCCGAATTTTTATTTTGATTACTTAGTTGTGTAGAATATCAGAAGTTTCGCAGAACACAGTTTGAAAACCGCTGAAGTAGAGTGTAAACGTTTCAGGTAAATTTTAAAGTAAGCAGAAGTTTTTGGAGCTATTTTGGGGCATCCATAAAACATTAAAAAGGAATCGGGGGAGCAGATATCATTACATTCTCAAGGATTTCTTTTTATTCCCTCTTAACTGTCCGCTTCGAGTATTTTTTCTAGAAATCCTCAGTTCCATGTTTTGAGAATCTGATTCTTTACACTGTTTAGCATTTTGTAATTGTGATAAATTTCAACGTGTGGTTGCTTAAGCGGAGTATTTTAGTTCATACTTATGAATTATTATCGGAACATATATCTTCTTGCTGCATTTATTTCCGATAAGCATAGTCCTATTATTAATATTGTAGTCCGGGAAAAAAAGTGATTACTCGTATTAATTTAAAAAAAAACTCTCTTCTTTTTGATTTAGTTTCATTTTTGCATTTGCACCTTTGTTTTAATTTTAGCTATTACATATCTTCCTAACTATATTATTTGAATAAATCATTTATCATTACATAACTCTTCTAAAAATACTTCCTCGAAAAGTTAAATATTCTGCCAGCGATTTTTTATTCTCTAATATTTTTAAATAAGCCATTCTATTCCATTGCACTGTATATTTTTCAAAATAGTTAGACAAAAACTTAATTTTTTTTTCAAATTAGCTTTTTCGCATATGGCTAAAATTCCTAAAACTACAACGAATCCTCTTAGTGCGACCGCTTCTTTAAGATGACCATCTCTTATCCAGAAACTATAATTATTTTTTTCTCATTTTTTCTCACAAAAATGTTCCTATGACTATTTGATTCCGTAAAAATAGAATTCATGTCGATGCTTACAATAACTAGGACATTTTCTGGGGTATATCCTGAAACAAGACATTGCACTAAAACCCGGGACGTCTGTTCTTTTTAACCAAAATTATTATTATATTTACGAAATTTATTTTGTAAATATTATAAAGAAGTGAAAACAAACGTATAAAAAAATTAACGGAGAATAAATTATTATGTTTTAACAGGAATGTCGTTTTAACGACCTCTTGAAAGCTCGCCAGGAGGTTACTGTAGAACCGACAGAAGAATGTTTAGATCAAGTGAACCAATATATGAAAGGCACACTGATGACCACTGAATCGACTTCGAGCAACGATTATGGAGATTCGGATGCTACTCTTCTCTAAATACTTGCCTTTGAGACTTCCTTTGTATGCTTTAGGTTTTCAAATGCATTAATAAAGTGCTTTTATTTTTGGAGTAAAATTTTCGTCTGTGAAGTTATTTAATGCATTCATTACAAACAATTATTGAACTTCAATTAATATGCTATTCTGATAGACAATAAACATATTTCTGTTTGAATAATATGATTTTAAATAAACACATTGATTATGCAGGGTGTCTCAAAATAATGTTTACACTCTTTGAACGTTCATAAAACAGAGAATATAAATATTCATAAAATTATTTAAACAAGACTTTGGACATTTTGTATCTGAACCTGCAATGTCTACAATAAGTGTGCATCAATGATACTGAGAATCCTCTTAGTTTTACTTCTGCCGGTGATAGACACTTTCATGAGATGGCAGAAGTTATCAAATTTTTTTTTTTTTTTCTCTAGCGAATACGCGCCGACCGTGCTGACCACTACAATGGTGGCGAAAAATAATCATCCACCACTTTTTTTAGTTCGATCGCCACTGTAGAGACATATGTTATTTAGAAGCAGGGGCATGATAAAGGAGCAATGCCCTCGCCGAGAATCGAACCACCGACCTCTCAAATACGCACCAAGCGTGCTTACCACTACACCAAAAAGGCATTCTAATAAGGCTGGATGAATACCTTATACACGCTAAACTTTAGTTTTACAGAAAGACTTTGGAAATTTTGAAGGAGATTTAACTAAATTCATAATTTTCAAAGCGCGAAACTTTCCTGAAGACTTTTAGAAATTTTATACGTAAATGAATGATTTACCGAGGCGACTAGCTTCCGATTACATTGTAAATGAAATTCAGATCAAATTAAATAAAGAAGCAAATTGCTATCTGTCTTCGTTGATGGCTACCTGATACCTGAAAGCTAACTTACATCTCTAAAACTTAAAACAGATCATCGAAAATTTTAAATACAATTTTTGATGATGAGAAATACCTCATAATATACATACAAACTATATATAAACTAAAAATTTCAAACAGAAGATTGCGGCACATGGCTTCGCATATACTATGTACAAGGTAATAAATAGACACGTAATAAAGCGGCACTACTTACTGATATGGTCATGTGAGTCGGCAAAATTTTCTACTGCACAGGGCGCTGTTTTCTTTGGTGTAAACAATAACAATTGCTTACAAATGTTAAAAATATAATGTTAATAGAAACAAAATAAAGTGAACTATAGACGACGTAATATCAATAAACAAAATCTAAGCTAGAATTAAAGTCAAATAAAAACAGACAACCAAGCAAAGCAAAGCATAAATCAGCCTGAATATTAAAAAAATATTAAATTTCCAAATACTGCTAGTTAGTTACAAAGGAATAAAGTGTTAACGGAAATCAAATGAAAATTTAGCATCAAAAATCAAAACTGCAAAAGATTCAACAACTAAGGAATGTGTAGAAGTTAAAGTACAATATTAGCCGTAAACTCGGGAAAGAAACACTAACAGAAGTCTCAAACATTTCCAAGTAAATGTGAATCAAAAGAATTAAATTTTGTTTTGTAATATGCGTCACCAAATTTAGCCTCATTATATTACTGAATAGATTTTTTTAACTTATCTTTTGGAAATGAACAGATTAGTATGAAAACCAGTTAGTATCTTTCATGACTTTGATGTGAACATTATAAAAACAACTAAAATGAGTGTAATAAAAAATGCTTCATGTAAACAATTTAACAATGCAATTAATATACTTTTTCGTAGAAACCTTGTAGAGACATTAGGTTATTTCGAAGCAGAAGTGATGAAAAATGAGCAATGCCCTCGCAGGGACTCGAACCACGGACCTCTCGAATACGCGTCGAGCGTGCTGACAACTACGCTACCTTTTAAAGGGCGACTGAGATTTTAGAGGAACCAATCGCGTGCTGACCAGTACACTACGAAGGCATACTAAGAAGGCGGGAGAAATACCTTATAACCTCTTCAAATAAGTAAGCCAAAAAGAAATAATAGACAAATAAATAAATATATAAAGTGTATTCTATAAACATAACAAGGAGGAAAATAAGATAAGGTAAGTTCTTCTTAGTAGGAGAAGAAAAGCGGGTTATCGAAATAACTAGCAGAGCAAACTTTAAAGCCATAATTACCAAGCTATAATTTACATTCACAGGGTTTTAAATCGAACTACAGTACTACCTAACTTGCAGTTACTTACAGAGTCCTGCTGCTTGGGAAAAAAAAGAAGGAAAGGTAAACACTCCTGAAAACTTTGATAAATAATACTTTTCTATTCTTGAAACTTCGACAACGTTGCTAAGCTTTCAAAAAATCGCTAAATGACGCCAACTTAATTACACAAATTTTCACCAAGGCACAATAAGAAGGTTTTTATTCATATTACCCGTTCTAGACTTGTTTTTAATATTCAAATATCAGATCTTCGTAATTAAAGAATCCACAAAATACTGCGTGTAGTAAAGGCATACAAATATATTTAATAGTCACAAATTAAAAATTAAATAAAATATGCAAAAAATAGGTGTTAAATTACAAAATAAAGTACATTAATTATATGACTAAATAAGTGCATAAATTAAACCAAATCTGTAACTATACATAAATGCATGAAAATCAAAATATAAACAAACAAATACAAATCCTAATTAGTATGCACAATAATATCAAACTCTATGAAAACTAAGATAACGTAAAAACAGAAACAATTGACCTTCTTTGCTCTATCCTTTTCTTTGACTGTTCATCCTTAAAATCACGATAATATATTTATATATCACATTTACTATACCGTGTTCTGATGACAGATGGAGGTTTGACATCGACAAGTGAGAAATACATATAACATATTACTCAGAAATTCCCGTTAACTTCGAGAGACGACAGAAGGATAATTTTTCTTTTATCTCGCAGATCTCATCAAGACAAGAATAACTAATGGTGTAAGTTATAAGAAGGAGCTTGCTGTTGGTATGATTCCGTGTTTCCCTAAAAGTCTCAATGCTATTTTTTCTTTCCAGAAGATCCATTCATTTAATAAATAAATGCACATAAATCTTACTTAATATTTGGGGGATTCTTTTAGTTTTATGGATAGTAACTTCGAATTCACGGGTAGTGATAATGAATAAATAAAAAAAATGAATCTGTGAAGATATAAATGTAAGAAAAGTACAAAAGTATATTTACGATGTCATGGAAACCAAATCATTTCTCTACTTAGATAAAAAATGAATCTGTGAAGATATAAATGTAAGAAAAGTACAAAAGTATATTTACGATGTCATGGAAACCAAATCATTTCTCTACTTAGATAAAAAATGAATCTGTGAAGATATAAATGTAAGAAAAGTACAAAAGTATATTTACGATGTCATGGAAACCAAATCATTTCTCTACTTAGATAAAAAATGAATCTGTGAAGATAAATGTAAGAAAAGTACAAAAGTATATTTACGATGTCATGGAAACCAAATCATTTCTCTACTTAGATAAAAAATGAATCTGTGAAGATATAAATGTAAGAAAAGTACAAAAGTATATTTACGATGTCATGGAAACCAAATCATTTCTCTACTTAGATAAAAAATGAATCTGTGAAGATATAAATGTAAGAAAAGTACAAAAGTATATTTACGATGTCATGGAAACCAAATCATTTCTCTACTTAGATAAAAAATGAATCTGTGAAGATATAAATGTAAGAAAAGTACAAAAGTATATTTACGATGTCATGGAAACCAAATCATTTCTCTACTTAGATATAAATAAAAAACAAAAAGCTTAGATGCAATTAAAGATTGGGGTGGGACAATTGTAAATAAAATATTTTGGTGTTTTTGATTGATTTTCCCCCTCATCAGAAAGCAGCCACAGCATTGTCAGAATTGACGTTTTTTAATTCAGTTCTAGATTAATTGTCTTTAGCAACTAAATTTTGAACATAAATTAAAATATGATGCCATATTTTCTTTAAAATTATATCAGAAGTAGAATTTTTTCAAAGCGATAAGCAGCAAAACAGTATGCCTGCGGTTCACAAATAAATAAATTTAATGAAGGATAAAGATTAAATATATCAAAATTCCAATTATTTGAATGTCTTGTACTTCTTTCTAGATCAGGGGATCTGAAACTTTTCAAATTTTGTACCACATAAATATTAAACACAAATATATGTACCACCATAAAAGCATTTCGCCATTAAATGTCAATGCATCCTAAATGGAGTGTATATAGTCAAAGAATAAAACCGTTTAAATATATATTATTTAATTATATTCGTAAATGAAACTTTTATGTTGCTATAAAATATAAATAAGTATACTATGACTATATAAATATATAACAACTGTGGTAAATAGTGAGTAACAATATATATATTAAGCAAATACAAAAGTACAAAAGCAAAGAGGACACCTGAGTCACAGGGCCAGCTCTGACAAGATACGTTTAAAAATATATACACATTCTGTCTTTTTGACATTTTAGAAACTCTTCAAGTCTTGGTAATGGGGCAATGTTGTCGCTTTTCAGTTCCTTAATTATGTATTCTAGTTTCTTCAAAAGCGCAATTTATTTTATTTATTTCCAATTTATTTTATCATGTACTATAAAAACAGTGATATTGTCACCTTATAAACTACAATTCAATTCATTCAATTTTTCAAAAATATCGGATAAGTACGCTAAAAGTGATAGCCAGATTTCATCAGTAAAGCAATGATGGAGCTCAAATTTGAATTCCGTCAGGAATTACTTAGGCCTCTACAAGTAATTCAAAGAGTCTAGTTATTTTTTTCCTTGTTAACCACCGCACTTCAGTGTGTATTAGGAGCTTTTTGCGGTTACTATCCATTTCATTGCACAAAATAGTGAACAGACGTGAAATAAGTGCCCGATATTTAATAAAATTCGCTGATTGATATAAACAGTCTGTAGATTGGTCTAAAACAGAGATTGATATAAAGCAGTCTGTAGACCTGTAGGCATTGTTTTGGTAGTCATTGCTTCACGATGTATGCTGCAATGTGTGAACTTTGCATCTGGTGCAACTTCTTAAAT